ATTGTTTTGGTCCCTGCGAAGAAATAGGAGAATTAATCAGCTTCTTCAGAAAACCATCAAAGTCGACAAGTTTATCTACATAATATTCACACCACCATCGGAGGTAACATCTCGAGACTAAGAATGAGGGAGAAAAAGTGGATGGTGTGAGCGTGAATTTCTTGTCGGAGCGGAGAATGAAATCTAGGACTTCTTGATAGTTCCCTTCTTCGACACAAATATCAGCATCAATGCCCTCTTTGACGTAAAGAGGACACAAATAAAGCCTAACATCTTTCTGCCTCACACCCGAAATTATGACGTCCCAAGATAGAAATTCAAACCACATGTCAGTTGAGTCCGGGCTTATGTTTCCAACCTGATTATTCTGTCAAAGCCATGACGGACCTGTCAAAGTGGGTCGAATAAAAGGGGATAAATCCTCACTAAATTCCGTAAAGTTGAGAATGACATCAATTTCGGTTGCAAAATTATCAACTGAACGCTTTCGAGGGGTCAAAGTGGTTAAACGGACACCCTCAAGTTCACAAGTGGGAGTGAAAGTCGAGGCAAGAGATAATTTATTCTCAAAAATGGCATTGAGCCATAGTTGAAGCAGCCATAACGGTCCAAAAATATTTCAAGGCCCAGATTCACGGAAAAGGTTTTCCGAAGCTTCATCGAGACAGGTATATAGAGATGCCAATAAGAGTTTACTTAAACAAATTCTTTTTTAAATCATTTTCAATGGGAAAGTGACTCTCTTCAAGCATAAGCCCTTTGGAAGAAACATTATCCTCCTTACTCTTCTCTAAGAGTGTTGGTTGTTGTTTTTCATTTTCTAACCACTCTTGAACTTTTTCTATACTTTTTCTTTATTTTTTCTTTCTTTTCTATCTTCTTTTCTTTTTCTTTTATTCTAAGTTCTACCTCTCTTGTTGTATTTTCTTCCTCATGCATACTCCTAGGGACTTTAACTTCTTTTCCTATTTGAGATCTAGTTGGAACATTCCTAGGTTTGGATCCACTAGTTTCTCTCCCCTCAACTAATTTTGCAAGTAATTGTTGTATTTCCTCCTTATTCCTAGCATTTTCTTTTTCCCTTTTTCTAATTTCTTCCTCTCTTTTTATGTGTTCGTCTTCTTTTTTTTCTTATGTACTCTTTTAACTCTCTAATCTCATCTCTAACACTAGACCTAGTACTACAAGAATTATGACCATGTACACTAGAATGATCACTCATCTTTGATCAAGAAAAGGTTTTCACAAATTTGTTTTCAAAAAAAAAGTTGGAAAAGGGTTTTCACAAAGAGTGAGTTATAAAAGGTTTTCACAAAGAGTAAATAAATAAAAAGTGAAATAAAAATTGGGATGTTACAATTAAAGTTGAAGTTGAACCTAAAGAGAAATCAGTAAGCATCAAAGAAGTAAAGAAGGTCCACGAAGACAAGATTTCTGAATCGATTTCCTCCAATGAGGAGACCAACGTGGTTGTTGACCTCCCCTGCCCTCGCCACAGTCGCAAGACCACCCTTCCCACTCCATTGCCTGCATTCCCTTGGCCTCACTCCCAACAACTTTGCCTTCCCCTTCTTCCTCTCTTACGTCACCCTTGTCCTCCTTCGCCACACCTACACTGGCCACGACTCTATTCCCAGGCTTGATCTATCCTCTAACCACAACACCACCTGTAACGCCCCATTTATATAATAATAATTATATCTTTTCTTATATAATATTTTCGTAATTATATCATTAACAAATTTTTTTTTTTGAAGATAAAGATAAAGAAAAAGAATATTTTGTAAATTTATTACATAACATATCATTCTAATATATTTATAATAATGTATTATTTTACACAATATTCCTTTCTTTCACTTCTATTACAAAATATTTACATTAATAGTGGGAATAAATTTACAATAAAAAATAAAATTATAATAGATTCATCAAATAACCTCCACATTCCATTTCCTTCCAAAGAAGACAACAGCGATAACAACTGCAAAATGATCTGAAATCCCAAGTAGATCCATCTATTTTACATATATATATATATAAATATATATACAGATCATATATTAGATTTTCATGATACAATAAAATTTGAATTATACTTGTAGTGACTAGTCAGGATAAATGAACATCATCATAATACCAACCAACAAAAGGATATTTCACCTTAACCAATAATAGGATATTTCACCTTCATTCCTTACTCATTTAAATCCCCAAGGTCAAATCTCCAGCTACAAATAATTCAAACTTTATCTTCTATGGCCATAGGAACAATATTTATCTTCATAAATATGTGAAAAAATAACAAGACAAGTCCAAGATATCACAACTATATTATAGTTGATTATAAATATATTTACAATAAATATATTTACGTAAAAAGAATATATTAAAAATACCAATGATATAAATAAAAATGACAATCATTATAAAATAATTAAACAATATAAAATATGAACACCTTAATAATTAATATGGATAAAAATAATCATAAATTAAGCAAATAAATGAAGTTAGGGACACCCCACTAAATAAATATACATAAAAAATAACATAAATAAATATACATAATAGTATATAAAATTTTAAAGAGATAAGGTTCTCTTCCTCCTTACCTAGATAAGCAGAAGCTAAAACTTGAGCAGAACTTCCCCATCTGGATTCTCTCTTTCTTTCCCTCTCTTTCTCTCTCTCTCTCTCTCTTTCTCTCTCTCTCTCTCTCTGTCTCTCTCTCTAATTTCACCTTCTCACTCCGTTATAATTTTTTCACCCCCCCTCCCTCCTATTTATAGGCATCCTGGTGTACCCGAAACGGCCCGTTCCGGAGCCTTCGAATGTAGGCAAATTTTTCAACAGGAACGTCCCGTTCTAAAATCGACACGGTCAGTTTTCAAAAAGCAGAACGGCCCGTTCTAAAATCAGAACGGCCCGTTCTGGGGTTCATGTTAACACTGATTGACCATAAGCAGAACGGCCCGTTTCCAACTTCACTTTCTAGGCATTTTTAGAATTTTGGAATGGCCCGTTTCCCTTTGGGAACGGTCCGTTCTGGAAGAACCTAAATAGGCCTCTTTTCTACTTTGGAATGGTCCGTTCCACTTTTGGAACGGCCCATTCTGCTGCTCAGAAATAGTTTATTTTTCATTGTTTGGAACGGCCCGTTCCACTTTTGGAACAGCCCGTTCTGGCGTAAAAGACTGAATTTTATAAAAAATTTCATAAATAATTTAAATTATTACAAACCTTTACAAAAACTTTATAGAACCCTTTTAATTAACTAAAATAACTATAAAAATAATATTCATAAATATAAAAAAAATAATAATAATAATAATAATAATAATAATTGATATTGTAATAGTAAAAAATTCGGGGTGTTACACCACCCACTCCCTCATTATCACATACTTGCGTAGACCACCCTCGCCACTCCACCTCTGACACTGCCACACACCTTTTCTACAATTGCGTCTATCTTGTCAAAACCCAATCGAATCAAACCCTTGAAGCCCTAATCTACTTCCATAAATCCACCTCGTTTGCATCAAGTTTCGTGCCGGCAACAACGACTAGAAGGTGGCCATCTTTGATGAGTGAGTATGCGACGAGTGCATTGTTACCAAAGTAAAGGACAAGCGATGGCCGTTAAGTTCAAATAGTTTCTAATAAAAGAGAACATTTTAATAATTTTAAATAGTTTAGATAAAATAAATAAATAAAAATAATTACTATTCACTTGTACACACATAAACAATATGATAAATTTGTCCATAATAGAGTTCGTCCTTACTTGAAATCCAACACAAAATTAAATACTACACATTAAAATATTTCTACATCGAAAAACAATAACGTGAAACATACCCAAAGTATAAAAGTATACATAGACCCATACCTCTTTAGAACTTGTTTGGTTAGATATCAAATCATATCAACACAAACTTCGACGCATAATCAACGAATAAATGTTATTAGGACACAAAATGATGCTCAATGTACGTTAAACAAATGTACTATTTTCTCTTGGCAAATTGAAGAATTTAATTTATATTCACCGAGTACAAAATATTTACGACATTCAATAAAATCTGGTCATTTTAATACGTTATTTTATTTGTTAATATAATGCAACAACGAAGTGATGGACAAAAAATGATTAGGCAAAAATTGACAACAATGTGTGGCCTATCATTAGGGTTTGGTCGCCACTCATAACCGAGTTTCTTAAAATAAGCTACACTAAAAACATTTTTTAAGAAAAGGAAAATTAAAATATATTAAAAATAAGATTTTAAATAAAATAAGTCTAAAATATTTTTTAAAATTGATAGTTTTACTTTACTTTTTAATCCCTTCAATTTAAGATAGACTTTTAGTCATTATACTCATTTTTCAATCATCTTTTTTAGTCTTCATAGTTTATGATAAATTTTATTAGTCCCTACACTTATAATTTTATAATCATTTTAGTTCCCATTTTTAATTTTTTTTGTAACATTATATTTTATGTTAACATGATAACAGTCTTCAATTTTGTAAGAATATAAAAAAAACTCCAATAAAGTACAAAAGAAGTATGAAAAATCAAGAGTCTCAATTCAAAGAAACTTCAACAAAATAAATTTAAGATCAAATATATAAAATTGAATTAATACTCTTCACATTAAAAAAAAATACATATAAGAACTAAAGACCTATCTTAAACTATAAAAACTAAAGATGATTAAGAAAAATAATAAGTATAAGGACAAAAAAGTCTATTTTAAACTATAAAATTAAAAATAAATTAAGTAAAACTATAAGAACTTAAAAAAAATCATTTTAACCATAAAATAATAAGGGAGCTTTTATAATGCAAAAACTAATTTTAACTTATGAATAAATTTATTTCATTTTCTTATATTTTTAGTGTTTTTAAAAAAAGTTTACCTAAAAGATCCTATGAAAGAAATAACAAATCGACATAAAGGAGTAATTAAACCAAATAAAAGAAAATAGACTTCAGTAAGAAGCATTACAAGCATCAAATAAACAAGATTGAGAATACAACCATCTGCACAATTTGCAGTTCTTACATCAACCAAAAAAGACTTAAAAGGGGGGCTTTGGAATTCAAGAAATGAGTGTGCTGATAGATGAAAGTAACCCTGACAATTCATTTTTCAAAAGAGAGTATGTAATCTAACTGATGAACCAAACACAAACTACAAACTTGCTTTGATGCTAGACACATTAGTCCTAGACTACAAATGCTTGCTTTCCAATCTTATCTTCCATAAGGATGGTATCTACCACCAGCATTGTATCCTCCTCTACTGCTTCCATAGAAGGGGCCTCCACTAGCCCCTCCATATCCACCCCCTATGTTGCCATCATAGCCACTTTGATAGGCACCAGCACCGCCAGAAGAACCACCACCTGCACCATATGCGCCATAATTCTCACTCGGTCCACCATACCCACCAAGATCATACCCTCGGCTAAAGCTTCCACCATAACGACCAGTATAGCCAAGGGATGGATCTCCTCGATACGGCGCCATCGCACCAGCATATCCTCCATATCCACCAAATTCACTTCCATAGGCACCATAAGCACTGCCCCTACCACCACCATAAGCACCGCCTGACCTATAGCCACCCCCAACTCCAAAGCTTCCACTAAATCCATCATAAGCATCTCCATATCCACCACCACCGTATGAAGACCTCGAGTCATTATAGCGCTTGGATGGTGGAGGTGCTGAGTTTGGCTTCTTTGGTTCAGCCTTCTTGATTTCCACCTACCGAAGAAAGATGACAAGGTTACTTTATTGATAAAATTTGCATTTGATGAAAACAAAAAAGAAAAACTAAGTAGCCAAAATAGTTCTCAGAAGCTTCTTGGTCTGTTGAACTAAAGACATAATTATTATGAATGAAGTAAAAAATGTTTGTGATTGGTAAGGTGTCAATCCATGATGGTAGTGCAAAAAGTTAAACTAAGAAAGACCATTTCAAAGGTTGATAGATCAGGTTAATGAGTACTCGAGGAAACATTCTTGCAGATGGCATCATGTCGTTTACCATTATAACTATACACAATCCCCACCCCCTCCCTAAAAATAGATTACAAGGTGAATTTCTAAGTAATATGTTTGAACGTCCTCTCCATATAATTTTACTTTCCAATGTAGTTTCTGCATACTATTCCAAAACAAGAGTAAAAGTTGCATGAAGCAGAATATGTGAAGTTCACTAAATTTACCAATACACCAACTCTTCCTCTATAACTACCCTTTCCCACTACTTTACCAATACACCCTCTCTCCCATTCCCAAAACCCACTATCCTTCCTCTTTGCCATGTGTCCCTTTTTAATGTAAACCTTTCAAGGTCGTAGCACATAACTGATTTGGTTAACCAATTGACCCATATTTCTGATGTGGATTATTATATGCAAACCCACTCTACTACTTAAAGCCGTATTTATCACTAAAACAGATATATATGATGTTATGAAACTATACTTAAAGCCGTATTTATCACTAAAATAGATATATATGATGTTATGAAACTATGTATCTAATATTTTTTGTATTCAGTATACAATGAATTGAATAGGAAAATCAGTATTCAGAAATCATTGCTAATTTATTATTGACAGTAAAGTACGGGTAGAAGTTATTGATGATTCGTGAGTGATATTCTTTGGACATGAAAATCAGAGCCATTAATTAATGAGGTTCTACCTAAAAGCTTAAACCTTTAGAAGAGTTGGCTTTTTTGAGAAAACAAGTTTTAGATTCTGCAATTCATGGTGCTGACAAAATCAATAAGCCAATCTTTAAAATTTTAGACATTTCAAAACAAACTTTCAGCCATGAAAATATCAAATTCATAAAATTAATCCATTGGAATTGGATGCCAATTACACGAGCCAATCCCTTTATTACACTGAATCCTACATCTACCAGATAGAATAATACAGGAACCTATTTTGAATAAAAGATTCCTCACCTGAGCTCCAGCAAATTCAATTTTGTTCCCCATGGATAGAAGATCATCAACAGCTTCTTCAGTGTCAAATGTGATAAACCCAAAGCCACGAGATCGATTGGTGGAGTGGTCCCGCATTATTTGGTGATCTTTGACTTCTCCATAGCGAGTAAAGAAGTCTCTAAATTCATCTGCACAAGTGCATCTCTTGATTAAAAACAATATCAACCAAAGCAAACTGCCATTCCCTGCAGCTATTTTATGTTTAACAAGTGATAAGTTACTTTCAAAATCAATAACTTTATAGTGTCTAACAAATAGCTAAAGTTAATTTTAAAAGAGCTTTAAAAGGAGAAACGGGATTCATAATAAAAATAGTCAATTTACTTACACCCCATCATAATAACATAACAAATCATTCACATCAGCCCAGATGTGATTTACATGTGGCCAAGTATTTCATAAGAAGAAATGTTACAGGAAAGCATGAGCATAATAGGTACAAGTACAACACAATAAGGCAGTTCTGTCCATGTACAATATCAGAGCTATCGTCTGACACATCCTAAACAGTACTCTTGTGTATATATAAAACAGCATCCGATTCTAGGATCTGAAACTTAGATAATTTTTTATGCCCATAATGTCCTCATATTTTGGAGTTTGCTCTCTCAAGGTGTTGCATAGTGTCCCCCTTATTGACACCTCAGAGTCAAGCAGCAAAAAATTAACTAACTAAAGAGGCAACCTACCTTCAGTCACATTTGAAGGAATTCCACCTACAAAAATTTTCTTTGTCCTAAAATCCTTAGAGCCAACAGCTCCCCTTGGTATCGTCCGCTTAATCTCAACCTATATATAATGATCCCAAAACCATAAGAGCCAGCAAAGTATCCATTCGCTAATCACTATAATCAAAACAGAAACAGGTAACATGACATCCTTAGATAAGACATCATCAAATTCAAGACATACTTGTTTGCCATTGATGATATGAGGATCCTCAATGACTTTATCGACCACCGAGGGATCCGCGTAAGTTATAAACCCAAATCCTCGAGGTTGCCCAGTTTTCCTGTCCTTCATGATAACTGAATCCGTTATCTCACCATATTTACCAAAGTGCTTGATAAATTGATCTACAACACAAAACACAATCCATCGGGGTAGGGTAAGTCAGAAACCAATGCACAAAACTACAAATCCACACAATTCATAGAAGGGATTATCACCCTCTAATAATTACAAATATTATAAACGAAGACAAAGCAAGCACTAACCCATTGTCGTTTCTCTCGCTAAACCACCTATAAATATCTTTCTGCAAATTATGGGTCGAGTGCGATTAGAACCAAATCTAAGAACATTATCACCATCTATTCTAAATAACAAAATTATAATAAATAAAAAAAACATTTTCTAAGAATTACAAAAGAATCGATCTTTTCTTAAGCTGGGTTTTCCCAAATGCTCCAATTAAAAAAATTTCCGAAAAAACAAAAGGAATTGAGAGAAAAAAGAGAAAGGGGAAAGTTACCCGGGACTGGCACCATCGCCGGTGAGGGGTTGAGAATTGTGGGGTTCTTCTCTGTGAGAAAATGTTGTGACGACGTCGTTGGGTTCGGCGCCGCCTACCACATGCTCGTTACCGGGAGATTCCATGGCTTATGAATTTGGAAGAGAATGCGAAAGAGAAAGAAAGAAGGGAAGAGAAACCCTAGATATTGTTTCTCGTTTATTTTTATTTTGTAAAACCCTTTTTATTTATATTTAATGTGAGTGAGTGGCTGATGTCAGAATCGGACAAGACAATGGTCTTAGATTCCTTGAAGGACGTAATGCAATGCATTGTGGTGTTTTTATTGGGCTATAGATGTTTTATGGGCCACTTTTCCGCAATTTTTTTTTTTGAATTACTACTTTTTAATTCTCTTTCTAAAAAAAATACTAACTGAATATTTTACTTTTAAAAAAAATTGACAAAAAAAATATTTGATTGATACTCTCTACAATACAATAGAAATAAATTTTCTTTAAGTGAAAAGTAGCTTTAGTATAGAAAAAAATAATAAAAATAAATTTCTTGTATATTAGAGCCATACAAAGTTAAAATAAATTTTTATTGTATATTTAATTGTATTTTATATCATTTTAATTAAAAATAATAATATTTATACACTTACTGAATTTTATTGTTATAGCTATTTTAAAAATTAAATATTAAATTAATATTAGTTAATTGAAATAATTATATATATATATATATATGTGTGCATGTGTGTGGATAATTTCAACTGTAATTAAGAAATTGTAATGTAATGTGGGATTACTTATATTTTGTGGCCTTTTATGTTCACTATTTGGTGCTAACCTTCTTTTTTGGAAACTACTATTTAACTTTTAAAGAAATTATTTTATCTATCTAATAAATATCATCTTTATTATTTTATAGATCAAGAAATTTTAATTAATAGATAAAAAAGAATAATAATTTTACAAAATTAACTTTGATTAATTTTATTTATTAAAAATGATGTAATATAATATTAATTTTAAAAGAATATTATGAGAAATATTAATTAAAAAATGCAACTAATACTATATTAAAAAATTAACATAATACTTATTTAATAACTTATTTTTTCTTTAGGCATGACATTTTTTAGAGAATAGAAAAAATATTATTGAAATATTTTTCTTAAATAAAATATTTAATTAAAATAACCTCTTTACATGTGTTGTGCCGTTATCAGTGTCATATACAACGGAAATAAAATTTTGTTGTGTAACTAAATTAACTATAGTGTCACTTTAATTAATATTAATAATAATTATTATTATAAATTTTCTAAATTTAGTGCCACAGGCATTGTAAAATTATTTATTGAATTAGTTGTTAGTTGATTAGAATATTTTGATAAATATGTACACATACAACATCTCATAAAAATTTGGGACTCGGCATGATATTTCACCAGCTTTGGATGAAATAATAAATAAAACCTTATATTAAATATATTTTTGTTACTATATATAAATATTTTAAAAATATAAAGATATATCATATAAAAAAATACATAATTTAACTTTAAAAATATAACAATTTTAACAAATTTCAAAAAGATGTATAATGTTTTTCATTCATTTTACTTCTATATCATATTTTTATAAAAAAAAATATTATTATCTTAAATTAAATCTTACATGTAATTTTACCTTTATTAGAAGGAAAAAGGTATTATGTGCCTCCATAAAAAAATAATATTTTAAAAAAGTGAATAATTATTATTTTTAAAGAGGAAGTTATTTTTTACATATATATTTATCCTATTTTATCTTTAAATATAAATTAGTGAGAAAAAATAAAATAAAAACATGAAGATATGATTGTCTTTGAAAAAATGAACACTAAAAAGAATATTCTCTTTATATATTGTTACTGATTAATATGCTCACTTTTAATTTTAACTAATATTTTATCTTGTATATTGCACAAGTTAAATTATGATTTCTATATAATTCTAATTCATAATAAATAAATACTTTTAAGTATATAATTTATATTTTAAATTTATAATAAATAATTTAAATTATGATATATATTTTAATGATTAAATCGAATGTGATTAAGTGAACTACATAGATGTAAACATAAAAAAAAAAAATAATAATAATTTTAGATAATTAAGAATTGTATTTTTTGCCTAAATATGAAAATGTATGAAATGTAATCTTTGAAGAGGGAAGAAAAAGTATTGAAAATCCTTGATAGAAAGTGTAAGGAGAGTTTTCTTGTCAAGGTAAGGGATTTTAAATTAATGTATGAAAATAAATTACTTTATAATTTGAGTTTTAGTCTATATTTCTTATATTGATAAAGCAGTAACATACAATAATTAAAATAATAACACTTTATAATCATATCAGAATTATATTGAATTATTAAAAAGGAGACATGATAATATGTAATAATTTAATTTATTTACTAAAATAAAATAAGATAATATATAAAAATTTCAACTATTGATCAATTTGATGAAGTATATAAGTTAGCAAGTTATAAATGAATCGATAAATCATTAATTGAATTGCATTAACTAATTTAAATAATAATAAAATAATAAGTACATGTATAAAATATAATTTTATTTTATAATAAATAAATATTGTAACCTATGGGTAAGTGCTCCTAGTTCCAGATGGAGGAGCAAAGAGTTAAACTTATATCAGGTTTTATTGGTTTTAGATCCTACTAGTAATGTTAAATGTGTGAAAAGTCTCATTTGAAAGATTTTGGAATGCGAGACACTTAAATGGACAACCTTTGGTAGACCATTAAAATTTATAATTTGAGTCTTTCGTCTACTGATTTGCCTAAGAGCATCTACAATGGGAGTTGCTTATAAGCAACTCTCAACCACTTTAAATGGGTCCCACTGTACCACGTCATTCATAAGCAACTCATACTATATTTTTACAACTTTTATTCCAATGGAAATTGCTTATAAGCACCTCAGCTTTTTTACAACTCATATTACACTTTTTGACACCTCAATTTTTTTACAACTCATATTTCAATAATAAAAAAAATTACATAATAAAAAATATATAAAAAAATTTTAATAAAAAAAATACAAAAAATTACAATCATAAAAATAAATTTATTAATAAAAAGAAATACCAAAAATTACAATAATAAAAAAAAATTACATAATAAAGAGAAATTACATAATAAAAAGAAATACCCAAAATTACAACAAAATTAAATATAAAAATTAAATACACACTAATTTTCGTTATTATGATGTCCAAATCGTTCCCAAATATGTTCCACCAAGTCGTGTTGTAGTTGTCGGTGTTGCTGTCTATCACGAAGATGTGCCCTCCTTTGTAAGTATGTTGCAGCAAAAATAGGATGAGGACCAATAGATATATCGGTAGTTGAGACTTCGTTACCACCATTATCATAATCAAAATTAATATTGTACGTGTGTCTTTCATCTTCAACTATCATGTTATGTAGTATGATGCATGCATACATGATATTCTTCAATGTATCAACACGCCAAGCACGTGCCGGTCCACGCACAATTGCAAATCGAGATTGCAATACTCCAAATGCTCGCTCTACATCTTTTCTTGCCGATTCTTGTCGTTCGGCAAATAATTTTCTCTTTTCTCCTTGTGGCATAGGGATGGTCTTCACAAATGTAGCCCACTCAGGATAAATATCATCAGCAAGATAATAACCTATATTATATTGGGTTCTATTTACTATGTATTGTACAGCAGGAGCTTGTCCTGACAAAACGTCATTAAACACATTCGAAGCATTCAACACATTAATGTCATTATTTGAACCTACGGTGCCAAAAAAAGCATGCCAAATCCACAAGTCTTGTGAAGCTACAGCTTCAAGCATAATTGTGGGTTTGCCATGATCACCTCGACAAAATTGTCCTTTCCAAGCAACTGAACAATTTTTCCATTCCCAATGCATACAATCAATAGACCCTAACATACCTGGAAAGCCACGTGCATTCCCCATTTGAAGAAGTCGTTCAACATCTTCATTGTTAGGCCTCCTAAGGTATTCAGCTCCGAATATGTTGCACACACCGGATACAAATCTCTCTAAGCATTCCACAGCAGTGCTTTCACCAATTCGAACGTAATCATCTGTACTATCAGCACTTGATCCATATGCTAATATACGAATTGCAGTTGTGCATTTTTGTAATGGTGAAAGACCCTTCTTTCGAGTTGCATCAACCCTCATCTTGAAATAATCATCATAATGACCAAGGGCTTCTACAATTCTAAGGAACACGTGCCTTTGCATTCGAAATCGTCGTCGAAAATGAGCATCTGTGTAAACTGAATTCTCAGAGAAGTAATCATTGAACAATCAATTGTGCCCTTCTTCACGACATCGATCAATCATCAATCTTTTTTTCCTTCGACGAGTAGTGTTGTCTTCAAGTACCAATCTCATTATACGTTCGTCAGTGTTGTCTTGAAGTTCCTCATCTATAACTTGCTCAAACAAAGCATCAAACTCTCTCTCAGAATCCATTTTGAGAATGAGATGCAAGAAATGTGAATCAATTATATAGTATGTTAAAAAACGGCTAGTTTACAACGGCTAGTTTATAACGGCTAGTTTATAACGGCTAGTTTATAACGGCTAGTTTATAACGACTAGTTTATAACGACTAGTTTACAACGGCTAGTTTATAACGGCTAGTTTACAACGGCTAGTTTACAACGGCTAGTTTATAATGGCTAGTTTGTAACGGCTAGTTTACAACGGTTAGTTTACAACGGCTAGTTTATAAAAAATTAAATTCAATTACAATAAAACTAGTCTAATTTGCATAAATTAAAATTACAATAATATTTAATCTCCTAATTTGCGCCTAATAAAATTACAAGCCAATTCATGATCTTTGAGCTGCTTCTCAATCATTCCAAATGTGTCCTTCATGAGAATTTCATACATTGCACTAAAGTTAGCTGCTTCCTTCGCTTTAGCCAATTTCTTAACTGCAGCACTTCTTTCTAACATTGCTTTTGTCATGTTATCCAACTCCTCTTTGTTGGAAGATGTTTCGCCAACCTTTCCTTTACTTTTTCTCTTCGCTGCTTTTTGACCTATTGGACGAGACATTGGTGTTGTTGGGTCATATTCTTCACAATCATTGGCTGCATCTGTGTTAGAAGACGTTGAGTATTGCCCAGATTTTGAAATCTTTGATCGTTTGGAAGAGCTCTCCATTGATTCCGATTTCCATTTTGGCTCATCTCTTAATAATAGCCATGCATGCTCAAAATTGAATTTTTCACCTACATCTTGCGAGTAAATTTTATATGCATTTGCCATGATGTCTTTTTCTGAGTTGCCACTTTTTTTTTATCACGAGCTTGTTTATAACATCCGACAAATAATTGAACAGCTTTATTGATTCGAAACCAACGACTTTTTAACTGACCTGGATTTCTTACTGAAAATTGATTGCGATTGTTGTTGTAATTCTCCTTGATTCTAATCCAGAAACTATTTCCAGTTTGATCAACTCCAACAATTGGATCCTTCGAAATGTTGAACCATGATTGAATAAGTAAATTATCCTCTTCAACAGAAAAACTTACACGTGATTTTTTTTTAGTAGATATTTCTTCTCCTTGTTGCCTTCCAACATCAAGTGTGATGTTCTCTAGCCTTACTTGAGACTCGGATACGGAACCAATTGGTGAACCTGTTTCAAAAAAATTTGAAGGCCTAAAAATTATATTGGAATTGATTAGTATCGGTGGTGGATACATAAAAAAATGGGGATTTGGAAAATTATTATTGGTTGAATGTGGTGGTGGTGGTGGGTATGTAAAAAATTGAGGATTTTGAGAATTTTCATCGGAAGGGGTTGGAGGTAGTGGTTGGTTTTGTAAAAAATTAAAATAACTTTGAAAATTAAATTGATTGGGATCCATGTGGTAGAATATAAAAAAGAATTACAAATGAACAAAAAAAATAATTTTTTTTGGATGCGAAAAATAATTTTTTTGGATGCGAATATAGTAAACGTGAATAGTAAAATTTTTGAAATAAATTGTAAACTTGGATAATGAAATGCAAATTAACCGAACAATAGAGTGCAAATGAACTACACAATGTGAAAAATAGAGTGCAAATGAACTACACAATGTGAAAAATAGAGTGCAAATGAATTGAAAATTGGACATCAATTTATATATAAATGTCCAGCGGCTCTTTAACGTCTCTCCAACGGCTTTCAACGTCTCTCCAACGGCTTTCAACGTCTCTCCAACGTCTCTTTTTTCTTATTTTCGTTTATCAAAGTCTCTCACTCTCCCTTCATTCTTTGCACTATCCCTCCCTACACTTTCCCTTCACTCTCTGCACTCTCCCGTCACTCACTCTCCCTTCACTCTTTCTTCACGGGGTTGCGTACGGGGGGCGGTGGCTTCTGGCGCGCGGGGCGGAGGGGTCGCGGGGGGCGGAGGGGTTTGGCCGGTTGCCGCGCGGGGCGTAGAGGACTTGCCGGAGACACGCGACCGGTGACGCACAACCGATGATGCTCGAACGGCCACTAGCGAACATGGTTTTTTCTGTTTTTCTTTTTCATAAATGTGGTCCACGTAGATAAATTTCAACCAATGAAATTTTTCTTGTCCGTGCTAAGGACTGTTGCTTGTACAAGCAATTGACAAAAAAATTTAAGAAACTCAGCTGCCATGTAGGATAAGTCCAACGGGGTTTTTTATAAGGAATGTTGCTTAAGAATAAGGAACCCATTAAGCACCCTCCATTGGAGGTGCTCTAAGAGATTTGGCAGACTTTGGAACACGAGACAATGTTGTAGCAGCATCCTTTAGATAAAACTTTGGGAATTAACAACCTTTAGCAGATTTCACAAGTTAAATCACAATTTAAATTGCACTAATGGTAATGCAACTACTGCACTAACCTAATGAGGAGATAAATATTTAACGTGATCATGAAAGAATGATAGCATACATTTCTAAATTTACACAACTAGACATAGTTAACCAAATTGTAAGTTTGAAAATCATACATTAGTTATTGCAAGTGAGGACCTTGTTCGTGTCAGCCTGGAAAGTGAGAGCAGTGATAGGTATGAATCATTGTTCCAGTGATAAGCCACAAGTCTAATATGTGTTCTGTGGATTAATCCTTCTCCTCCCTTCTCGCTTATAATATGGAGTTTCATCAATGGTTCTTCTCACATAGTCTACAAATGGTTGAGGTGTTCGGGGAGACATGTCATTTACAACAGATGGGGTGCTTCTATCAGGAGTTGTAGGCGCTGCAATGCTTGTAGTTGTAGCAACTGAAGAACTTGTTTGCTGAGATCTCTCTGGTCTGTCCAAGAAACGTGTGAAGATGGCGACTGATAAAATCAACAGCAGAAAGCACCCCAGGATGCTAGCCCAGAAGGCTCTGTTTATGGTTAAGCTGGATGGTGCTGTTTCCTCAGGTTCATGGTTGATGTCAATTTCTGCACTCTGGCCTGTAAAACAGAGAAAGGAAAGATTAAACTTGTGATCCTCCAACTTTAAAAACAATTTATAAACTGATGATGGAAATCAAGTCATATTAAGCTTCGGGAATATGTAACCATTAGCAGGGAGTGTGATGATGATTCTGTCTTTGAACCTCTTCGCTTTCAGCAGTTTGACCTGGAGATATGGACGAGAAAGATAAGTACGATTCGTACGAATATATTTTAAATCCAAAATCAGAAGATTTAGTGCATTTCTAGTAATGGGATCAGTTCACTGGACAGTTGTGCAACTTTTCAGGTGATTTTAGCATCGAATTGCAGCAAAAAGAAAAAGAAATGCAAGGCTCGTGGAGAATGCATTTTCTGACCCAACTAGAGAGAGTAAAAAAACAAAAAACAAAAACCGGCTACACTACAATAATTTCAAATTTAGATTTGAGTAAATGATGAAACCCATTGGAAGTACTCACCTCATACTGTGCAAACCCTCGAATGCCAATATCTTCTTTATGGATGAGACTGATCATAATCAAATCTCGGTGATGCCAGTGAATTTCAACATCTATAATAAAACAGACAATAGGTTTAACCTCGCACATATGGTAGAAGACAGGAAATATTTGTAGCAACTATGCTCTCAACAATAAGTGAACATCATAGCTAGGAATATCCATGAGACCCTTCAGAATGATTCACATCACCCGCCTAACCACATTAAAATTTTTTTTCTATAAAGGAAGAAATAGAGGGGGAACTTCTGATAATAGTATGGATAATCAAGCAACAAAACAAGGTAATCACACAAGAAAAGAAATGAATGTCACGTTACCTGTATTTCCCAAGATGGTAATGCAAGTTTTGTTAGATCCTGGTGTCAGATTCAGCTGCATTGAATTCTGTGCAAGGGGGAACAAAACAATTTTAACATAATAAATTAAATTTGTATAGTTTGTTCCACAATCAGATTTTGAGGGGGCAATTTGGCACAAAACAAGCATAAAGGAGAGCAAATTGATCAAGAATCCAGATCAAGATAATGCACCCCCTTAATAAATCAAACACTCACTTCATTCAGATATACTTCCAAGCAATAAAACGGGAAAGTTTTAGCTTTGTTATTATGTCATACCTCCATTATAGAAAATCCTCCAATAAAAAGTGCTGAAGCAGATCCAGAAACATGTTCCTGTTCCTCAAGAGAAGCTGAAATGGTGAGTGATACATCGGGCCTCATGCCTTCTATCTTATGTACTGAGTGCACCAAATGCTCTGGAGAGTAAGGGAAAAATAAGCAATATGAGTTGCCAGAGTCCAGATCCAGCCATGGCTTCACGTACCTTCAGAGAAAGAACGTACAAGATATATCTAAGAATGAATTGATCATTTAAAGAGTCATCATACAAGATAAATGAATAAGGATTTATACCCCACATATGGCGGATCTACTCTACAATTGAATAAAATTCTCTTGTTTCCTCCCGGTGCACCAAGGATTTCACTGTAGGAATTACTATCACAATAAATACAGTCAGAGAAGTTGTTAAAACTGATGTCATTCAAACCAAGTTAAAATCTGGAGTTATAATTTACAAACCTGAATTTCACGGAGAAATTGTATCCTTTTGAGGGGTATGGAACATTAGTTAACATCTCTTTTGGAGCTTCCACGGAAAAATAATTTCCTTTCAACACTGTAATTGTTGTTTGCAGTTTTGATCTTCCGTAATGGAAAGATACTGTTCATAATAACGTATTTCAGCAAGGGAATTGTGCAAATAATAATTGTTTATAAAGCAAAAACTCCAGAGAATGACAATTAAAAAGTTCATTTTCTGTACTTAAATATTGCTATTCAGCACCTTGGGCTGAACCTTCCCCAATAGCTTTGGCCATCCCAGATAATGTATCAACCCAGATTATACTTCCATTTGTGGTAAACCACTGTCCAGAAACTGTATCACTCAAACCTGAAACTTAAAGATAGAATGCATTATCATTCCTGAAGATTTGGTAAAAGGAAAAGATTAGATGTTCTGAACTCAAACTCATTTAAGCAATTGAAAATAACTGTCAACTACAATGCCAGGTTTACATATCAACTCTCCCAAAATCTTAATGTTATGTGAATGTAAATGAATAGTTTCATTACATCTTTGACAAACAAATTTTTTTAAAAAAATGAAAACTGTTCATGAATAGAAGACAACATTAGAAGAATAAATTAACAGAAACTATTCAGAGCAGCCACACCTTTAACGCTTAGGTTAAGAGGACTTCCTACATGAAGAACTGGATTTTGAGGATGTATATGAGCACCCACTCTAATCTGAAAAAACAAAGGAAAGGGATTCAGATAGTGGAAAAGGACATAGGAAGTGGGGAGGCAAGATGAATACAAGGCAAAATAGTGAATGTAAGGTATTTTATAAACTGCACAAAGGGACAATTGAGCAGGTAGCAATGAGAAATATATCATGGTAAAAACGCATACATCAGGCATAAGCTCCAGTGTTCGGTTTGATTCTGTAGTCATTAATCATAATGTTTCCCAGTCATTGAGCTAATCACTTACATACTTTCAGAAAGCCTGCCCATCAGTTGATCTTTAAATGTTTAAGGGGTGTTTTTTTTTTTTTTTCAAATTTTGTTGATATATTTTCAATGATAATTACTTTAAAAAAATCACCTAGTTTTAATTTTGTTTCTTATTTCCAAGAATTTGCAAACAAAATGGTAAAAACAACAAAATCTTATTATTAGCATAGGAATGTGAAATTATGGGGATATAGGTATCGAAGGAGCAAAGGATACATTGAAATTGATATTGACTTGATATATGACATTTTGTAGTTACAAAAGACAAAACACCAATCCTTATTCATACTTGTACTAGACTTCTAAATCTAGTTAAATAAGGAAACATGTGAGATAATAAAGAAATATACAGGTTAATTAATTTTTTTTTCGTTTTTAAAAAATCTATTTTTTAAAATACTTTGAAAGTCTGTTTATAAAAACAAAAGAAAGAAAAAATAAGTTTGGTTACAAAATTATGAAAATAGACAGAAGATGGTGGTTATGTGAATAGTGGGATGGTGGGAAACCAAAGGCTTGTGAATGAAAAATCAATGGATCCTGTTTGGAAGATGATATTCAAAATTCACATTTTGTTACAAAATACTTATTAGCATATTAATAAATGTCACCATAAAAACAATAGATGGGTTTTCAAAACATCTTAAACTTTTTTTGAAAAAGAAACTTCTATAAAAGTTTTCAGAACTCAAAATTATAACAATCTTACGCATGTACAAGGTTTTTTTTAAAAAAACAAAATCTCTTTTTCAAAAAATTTAATCGAACAAGCCCATGGAAACCAATCCTATGATAAAATCAAGATATTGCTGAATATTTTTCATATACTCTACCAAAAAGTTAAAAACAGTGACACTTTGATAAAACTGGACCAGAAAATGTGGTAATAGTTTATTCTTTATTACTAAAGAATCAATCACCGCTAATGTATCAACGTGACATAGTAAAGATATTTCTTACAGAGACTTCCCTCCCTCTCCCAAGTATTCAAGGGACCTAGACTCCCTCCCATTTTCCTTCTCATAACTCATCCCTTTTTCAATTACCGAATACAAGGTATTCCGTTAATTAACAGAATCGGGTTCTAATCCTTACTTACCACATTCTTCCTGACCTAGACCCTGACACATTTTTATAAATATAAACAACAATATATTAACTGAAAAGAAAGCAAACCAAACACCACCTAGTTTTTCAAAAAATTACATATGATAATGATTTTTTGAATAATAAAGCTAAAAAAGAGTGAAAGAAACCAGAACATAAGGATTGGGTATCCTATTGATAGCAAAAGCTATGTGGAGGGAAAAAGAAGGGGGGTTTGATTATTAAAATTTCTCTGAATACTTGTCATTTGGTGATGATTTCAATTAACATTTATGCATGGCTACAGTGGAAATGTTATTGACTTGATCATGTTAGATGGCTATCACATCTACTGATCATTAGGTTGAATCTAAGCTTTTGTTTCTTAGAAGGAAACGCAAATAAATAGAAGAGAGGAAGTCTGAAAAAATCCAGGTATCCTATTGAGAAGAAATAGCCAAATAGGGGTAAACCCCAATTACAAAGAAACAGCAGAACTTAGAGGGTATTCATCTTCTAATGCCCAAAGACCCCAATTCTCTCACAAATGACAATATGGTCTTTCTCTTGACCTCTTCTTATTTATAGGCAACATGCCTTCATTCTTCTAATTATCGCAGCCCAACTAACTCTCTAAATAACTGTCACTAGCAAATGCCAACAGACATTTAGCAGTCAGACTCGAACCTGCAAGATTAACTAGGTTCTGAAAAGGTAAATCACCTCGAACAAAATTATAAGCCTGTTTAGGTACATCAGCATGAAATTATTCCCATATTATTATCATTAAATATAGGTTCCAAATATTTTGCATACAGCATACGATATCAAGATATGTATATAGAAATGTAAATTACTTTGGAGCAGGATATGTATGTAGAACAGTAAATTACTTTGGAGCAGGTTTTTGGAGAGAAAAAAAAAAAAAAGCAAATACTCACCAGCAAGTAATCTGATTTTTTCAGGCCTTCACTAATTGTTATACGCACAAGAGCTTTACCGTGCCGAATTGCCTTCAACCATCAGTCAGTCAGGACAAGAATTCCACAAAGTTAGCTAAGCTAAGCAATTCTATAGATATTAAACTAATTGAAAATACCAGAATCATAAATCTGTATAGTCTCTAAACAAATATAGTATATTCTAAAGTCATGCACTCACAAATAGGTTCTATTCTTCTGTGTTTGGTAGAGATAAAATAGAGCTGAAAGAGATAAAGGGAGAAAGAAGGGGGGGGGGGATAAATAGGTGAAAAAGGATAAACTCTCCTAATTTGTCAGGAGAGAAATAGATGAGAAAAATATATATATTAGTGGAATCCACCACTTCTTTATTTTCTTGTCTCATGAGTCAAGAAAAGAAAGGGAGAGAAACAATGTTTTGCATCTTTCATGAAATACCCTTATCTCTATTTTTAATAGCGACATAACTGTTTGCTTTATAAGAATTCATTTTCTTTCTCTTCACTTTCATATTTCTCTTGTACAAAACAACCCTCAAAATCTACTCTTTTTCTTGCTACTTTCTTTCTATCTTCTCAAACGAAGCATTCAAGTTGAATCACAAGGATGAATAAAGTACATTAAATAAGCCTGATCTCGATAACACTATGCAGGCTTAGCTTCATTAAAGACCAAAGCCCCATGTGACACTTTTCAATAAAAAAAATAAAAGGAAAAACCATAGTTGCAAAAACCTGTGATTGTGCAAGCTACAGATTCTTGTGCAGCTATGTTGCTCAAAATTAAAAGAATAAGGCAACCAAGAATAATGATTTATAATAAAAGTCATCAACAAACCTTGATATGGACATTCCCTTTTCCATCAGCTGTTTTGTTTAAGAAGAGAACATCAGGGTAGTTAGTTTCAGCATAAAAAGGCACTGCATTGTATGCTTCATGAAAAGGATTTCCTGTTGAACCACAGTAAGACACAATAAAAGATGAGTACTTTTCAGTTTAAAAGTTCCTGTATGTTATTCATTACCAAGGAGACATTGATACCTATAGCATCATAAAATTTTGTTGGAAGATCAAGTTCTGCACCAACAGCAAGGTTAATTACATTGAGCAGAGCCTCCTTACTGGCTATTCTAATTTGAGTCACCTGATCATATCAAAGAAATTTATGATGTGAAATTGTGAATTAGAAGTCCCAAACAAATAACATACATCCAGAATGCAAATAACATGTTTAATAAAAAAGATACTTATTCTGCTGATAACAAACAGGCACCAAGACAAAAGAAAGGCAAATGGATGGTATATGGATTGACAATAATGAATGGAACAGAAACAAACCATTAATTCATTTATCATCCATTAAAAAATCCAATCCATCAATGACTCGTTAAATAAATAAATATCCAACCTCCCTCTTTAAAATTCCTTTAAATCAATGTGTTTTAATTTGCAATATATATACACACACATGCGAGCATACGCATGAACTATAATATGGACAAATAAATACACAACTTTTTAAAATTATATATTAAACACTAGATTTCAATTTCTATTGGAAACAATGCACAGTCTCTTACCACAATGAAAACAACGTACAGATTATTTTATATATCCATTGTATAAAGTTATTAGTCAACACCTGTAAAAGAGAGTCAGCTCTAGCATAAACCAGCATGCCCCAAGGCTGGAAAGCTGTACTCTCAAATGAGTGCCAACAAGTGGCCCCAAAATTCAGTAGTGAAACAGCGAAAGATTAAATTCCATACCTCAGCAACCTTGACACAGGAAGCAATCTCTGTTCTTCCTGTTGTACGATCTTTAGCTTGAATACAAGCAAGATTATTACTTTTGGTTGTTTTAATTCTATCCCCATCAATGAATATGGCCTCTTTTTGCAGAGCTTCATTTTTCTCCAAACTTCTCAATAAAGAATAACTGATGGTTCCTCTACGATTCCGACTATCATATTGTGAATAGGATTCTGATGATGATGATGATGGCAGAGGACTTGTCATTGTATAATATGGAGGAAGAATCCAGGTGATGGGGACTCCCAAAGCCAGCGGAAGATCAGGAATCACTGTTACTGATAAAGAAGAATTGTAAAACCTTGATTGTGTCCTTGACCCAGAAGTTGAAAGTTCACACGAGAAAGACACAGCAACATTGGTCTTGCCAGCAGATCTGAAAAAACAAAATATTTGGATCCGAATCACAGATTCCTCAACTCTACTTATCACATTGTTTGTAATAATTTATAATTTGACATGTTGTCAATTTTATGTATACTTTTACATAGCTCTTACAAGGAACTAATTTCAGCAACATCATGAAAAGATAAAAAATAAAAATAAAAAACTACAGAAAACCAACATAAATCATGAAAATACTCTACACCAATGATACATGATAACTGGAAGCATAATAGACCATTATTTGGATTCAGATATTTAAGAAATAGATAGTAAAAGAAAAGTGAAAATCATTTGGACAATGGACATACAAATATGATATACTGGAAGGTAGGAGCAATTATATAGTATATCCAAAAGACTAAAGTACTATTACACATTTTACATGTTTATCACATGATATTATTCTCAACAAAAATGTTGCATTACTTAATACCTTCCATACAAGACGTTAATAAAACCAATATCATTCTCATCAAAATAATCATTAACTTGACTTCCGGCTGAAGCAGTATTGATACTTTCCCCATGCAATGTATCTGCCACCTTGAAGCTCAATACCTAAAGAAACAAGTACAAAATTCTTTAGACTACCTTTGTTTATGATTTTCTTAGGAGGAAACGGACTTGCCAAAAAATATATAGTGTGCAATGACAGACAGATTACTGTGGAAGGTCATCTTCGTGCAGTCAAGCAAATGTTTATAGTATCTTTTTGGCATATGATTTCTAGGGTGTTGAAAGTTGATATTTCTGCCAAGTTTGTTAACTATAGTAGCTTACACATTAGCATTGGTAGCTGCCATAGTTAAGGTTGAGATTTGAGAATAGAGCTGAGTATTGCAATAGACTCAGTTGATAATTGTAGAAATAACAAAAACAGTTGTGGTAGCTTGGGGATAAATGCAAGGCAGATGGTCAGATAGTTGATAATTAGCAGTTCCATTACTAGCACCACAAATTTTGCAAAGTTTGCAATGCTCCATTTTGGGGTTGATAGGAACAACAAACACTCAAATACAACAAAGAAAGTTTCGGGAGGAGCTGTAAGAGCTTTGTTTTCAATCAATTGTTTCTTTACTATTTAGAGCACAACACACTTTACTTCTGAATTTAATGTTTTTGTATTTTTCTTAATTGTAATATAATTCCTAGGACATGATGGAATTTCAAATTTTCAATTACTAGGAGTATAACTTTTGTATACAGTGTGTCCTAGAGTTACAATTCTTTGGTGCTCCTTGATGCAGTTTGAAATGAAAAGATAATTCCCTTTACATATATAAATTATAAATTATAATTGTTATCTTGAACGACAGTGTTTTTAGGGTCTATTCTTATAAATTATAGATATATAAAATAAACATTTATCTTGTGCATTGCATGAGCTAGAATACTAGTTTGAAGATAAAGCCAAACCTTTTCATCTTCAATAGTCCACTGGTAATTTTTACATAGCTCATAGAAAGAAAACAAAGTTCCCTGACAAAACAGAAAAAGTTCACCAATATTAAGATTTGAAATATATAAATAATAGAAACTTTATTTTGATTTTAACTGTCACCTCAGGAAATAACGGATAAATTGGCAATTTGAGGCCAACCCCAAGTTGTTCACTCTGTGCATATAATGTGACTGTAGACGGAACTCCAACCCTTAAAATACTCCGTGCTTCACAAATCACAGTATTACCATTTACAAAGACGCTAGCAATAATTGTCTGACAATAATAAGTATATCTTGCATTAGACAAATATCTTACCCCAACCAGATATGATAAATGTAAAAAGAATAACACACAAACTGTTGAAGAAATAAATATATACAAATGTTTTCTTTGAAGCAAACATTTGAAATAACTATCACGTGTTCCATGAAAAATGATTTAAAGATGGAAAAGGAAAGAGTACATATACAGAATATATAATATACACTGCAAAATCAGATAAAGAATAGGGATGAAAATTATTGACCCTAACATGAATACAACTTTAAATCGAGAGTCAACACTAAAAAAGGATCAAGTGCAGCAAAAATGGGATTGGAAAAAAATGGTCAACCAAACAGACATGACTAATAAGCATTTTGAGTTATAGGATGAGGCATACAATCCAAAATGCCCTTCTCAAATTGGTATTGTGAAAAACTAAAACACCTAAAGCTTAAGTGATTTGTTAAAGACCCAATAATGGTTTAGTGATATCCAACATGGTCCTTTCCCTAGAGTTTTGGGCTTGAAGTGTGCACAACACACAGCCTAGTTTATTGATGCAAATTAGTTTATTATGAAGAACAGGGAAGCAATGATCAAAACCCTAATCATTTGATCGAAAGAGGCTAATCCCATAATAAACAGATTTCCCAAAAGCTTAAGCAATTATATCTTTTGACTCATTTTGTCTTATGAACTACTAACCTATGTGAAATACGGATTCTTTGAAAATAAATTGATTAAACAGGTAGTCAGGATCATTCTTTGATTAAGTAAACAGATTAAGTGTGGAAAGGCATGTTGAATTTGTGCCGTTTAATGAAGAGCTAAACAGTTAGTTTCAAGGTCAATCCCATAATAAAATAGTGTCAGGGTAGTGAAAAACGTGACATGATTATGAATGGATAGTGAGTTCAATAAATCTTATGTGATATATCCCTACCTCAACAACCCTCATTTGACCTGCCAACATGCACTGACACCCGTTCAAAAACACATCATTGGCAGAGCTCTACTAAGATACCACTAGAATAAGTCTATCCCATAGGAATTGGGTGGCAAAAAAAAAATTCAAAGAAGTTCTGACACCAAGCAGCAACCTACAAGCACATGCACTACACAATTATAAATAGAGCTCATAAATACAATACAAGAGTTTCCTTCTTGATCCTATTTGCAGAGCTCCACCAAGATACCACTAGAATAAGTCTATCCCATAGGAATTGGGTGGCAAAAAAAAATTCAAAGTAGTTCTGACACCAAGCAGCAACCTCTAAGCACATGCACTACACAATTATAAATATAGCTCATAACTACAATACAAGAGTTTCCTTCTTGATCCTAAAACATTTACATCATTGTTCCAACATCCAAGCTTGCGAGGATAACTCAGCTTTCAACAAACTAAAAGATGCATTTTCAATAACAGACAAAAACTACGAAGATGAAGAGAATTATTTAAAAAAGGGTTCTTCAGTTGTAAAATGAATAAATTACAATTTACAAAGCATTTGGAGGATGAGGAACCCTTTTCAATGTAAGAGAAATTAACAAAAATAACAGACTCGGGTATTATGTGGGCTGCCTAAGTCCCACATCGAGTAGTACGGGATGCTCAATGGAGCATGTAAGAGTTTGGTTCATCCTCCCTTAATAGCTAAATCTTTTATCATTGGATGCAGAGTTGGTTGTTGGAGTCCAACGGAGGGGCTGACCAAACAGACTGACCGATGTGTGTTGTAAAGTGTCAAGAACCAAGGGAGCATTCCCTGAGTGCTAGGTGCTTGTCAAAAAGCTTCAAGTACTAATGGTGTGAAGCTTTCTCTCAACAGTCCACACAACAGTGTAGTGTAAAAGCAAAAGGAAGCAAAACATTTTTTATTTGCCAAAGAAGTCAAAGAGACTTATAACTTCAAAGCTTAGTACATAAAGCAAGGGCTAACAAATAGTTTTTTTACAACTGACTGACACCCCCTATGTAAAAGACTATAAAATGTTAACAAAGCATAACATAGAGATTGTGCTGCTGAAAACTGACCTTTACCTGCATAAATTTTATAATATTGAGGGAGGCATAACTTATGTTATGTTAGCAAGTTGTTGGTCCCAGTAACATGGCCACTCATATAACAACTAAACAATTGGTTTGTACTAAACGATGCATATGCATGAATGCCTATATCTGATAACAAAATAGAAATAAAAATAGCTAAATAAAATAACGAACAATAATAAGTCTGAGCCGCATTCATCTTACAGTGTTCCCAATAGAACTTGCTGAGAGTCGTCCAGAATATCTATCAATACTTGCAATTTTATCATTTTCAATTTCATACTCAACATGAACACCAAGAGTTGGGCCTCCTTCCATGGTAAGCTAAGCAAACAAATGTAATAACATGACGTCATCATAAAACCAAGAAAATGGGAGAAAACAATGATGTAAACTTCATACCAGCCTAATATTGAATAACAAAATGCAAAGATGAACAATCACAAAAGAAAATGCTGAAAGATGCAGACGAGAAAGACATGAAAACAAGACTTGTGAACTATTATGATACATATCTGATACGAGAACACAAATATTCTAAAAATATACAAGACATGATACGTGTAAGACACATTTTTAAATATTATAAGAATTCATAAAACATAATAAATATATAATTGTATTTCTACAAATCCAAATTAAAGAACATACTTCTTATACATTACTAAAGTAAAAAAAATAAAATAATTAAGAATAATTTGTCACCATAAATTACATCCTATTTATTATTCACAAATAGGAATACTATTATCAATCACATTCCTTTATTGTAATTATCACTTGAATATGAATAATTTCTTATTAATGAATCTGAATGAGTACAATAAAATAAATAGGCATAAAATATAATCAATCCCTAAAGTTTAGGGATTTAGATAAAACTGACTAAGGAAACTAAACTAGAACTTAGGAGAAGATAAACTAGTATATCTAAACAGAATTATCTTAACACTCCCCCTCAAGCTGGAGCATATATATCATATGCATCTAGCTTGTTACATATATATGTTATCCTAGGACCTCGTAAAGATTTAGTAAAGATATCTGCAAGTTGATCCTTGGAGCAAATTGAGGAGGTCTTGATGATACTGGAGAGAATCTTTTCTCTGATGAAATGGCAGTCAACCTCTATATGATTTGTTCTCTCATGAAAAACTGGATTAGAGGAGAGGTATAAAGCTGACTGGTTATCACAAACTAGTTCCATATGACCAACCTTGCAAAACTGCAACTCTTGAATTAAGAATTTTAGCCACAAGAGCTCACATGTGGTGTGAGCCATAGCACGATATTCTGCTTCTATACTTGATCGTGCAACAACACTTTGCTTTTTACTCTTCCATGAGACAAGATTACCACCCATGAAGACACAATAGCCTGATGTTAACCGCCTATCACTTGCATCACCTGCCTAATCTGCATTGTATTTTGGGACTTGAAGAGAGGGGGTGCAGAACACACAAGCGGATAACCAATACAATAAAAAGGCTATGTGTTCAGAAATCGAAACAGGAGTACCAGGCTGTCCTACATGAGCATTTATGAAAGCTAAATAGGTCTTCTTATCCCAAGTAATAGAAAGCTCCTTGATCGAAATCTCTTCCTCGAAAGCATCAGGATAAAACCTATCTCCTACAGGGGGTAGACCAGTTATTGCCGCTATATCCAATAGAGTAAGGCAAACGAAACCACAGGGAAACTCGAAGGCCCTAGTCTCTCTATTCCAAAAGAAAATGGCAGAAAGAAGCATTTGAGGGTCGAAGAGGTGCAGATCAAATTTTTCTAATTGAATAAAATCGAGTATTCCAGTTTCTGCCCAAGAAGAGCTCATTGCATCTTCTACACGAAGCAACCATTGTAGATGTCTATCTTTAATAGGGGGAAAAGCTCGAAAGATCTTAGTGGTATCCCCAAACAGGGCTAAATCTATTTCAATAGAATGAATGAAAGGGAGTGTAGTGGTGTCTTCAGGCAACAAAGTGTTGCCAAATTTTTTCTTATTTTGACCAGCAAAGGGTCCTAAGAAAGCATGGACGCTACCATTCTCAAGAGAGAAAGGAAGAAGTACCTGAGATTGGAAAATCTTCAAACTTGCCTCTTCCATGCCAGGAATAGGGACGAAAGTATCATCGCCATCTTTAACCTTGCAGACTTGAGCACTAGCCATCAGTAAAGGACCTGCCTGGGTAGAAGTTGCAGTGGCCATGGTTGTTACAGGAGCCATGGCAAAGGACGTTGCAGTAGCCAGAATCGGAGACGATGCAGAAGCATTAGTGGAAGAGACGGTGGATGCGATGGCGGCGGAAGTAGACGCAGCAGAGGAGGCCATGTCAAATATGAAGGAAAAACTCGTGAAAGAAGAGGGAATGCAAGATTGTCGGAGAAGAGAGTCAAGAACCAGAGCAAAGAAGCAACAAGTGAACAAGAAAGAAATGAACAAGAAAACTTGAGCACGAAGGAAGAGAACGGTGAAAGTGATTTTCACCTTAGG